ACATCAAAGATTCCCTGAAGAATCGTGAAATCCAATCAACACCAACGAAGAATGATTTCTCAGTTTCTGTTTCGTAAAATTGAAAAAAATATTTTATTCTATTTTACGATTTCACGTTCGTTATTCAAATTCAAAATATTTTGTAATGTATCTTTTAGGAATTAAAAACGACAAAAATAATTGTAAAAGTATAGATTTTTTTGAAGTTCCATTTTTAAAATGTATCTTTGTTCGCTTCCAAAAAGACTTCTTTGTGTCAAAAGAAAGTCATGCAAATCCTTACGATAAAAAAAAAGATGACAGCTTCAAGTAGATATAAGTTTTCACCGATTTTACAAATATTTAAATGTTCATTGCAAGTAATTGCATTTGGTACAGATTTGTAATTAACGAACGTCGTTTGGTGATTGTAAATCAAGGATGACTTTGGAACAGCTACGAAACAATTATTATTATTATTATTATTATTATTCTGTGTACTGTGTCTGTTGAGGACATGAGCAATCATTGCACACCACAACTTCCCATCTTCTGTCGCTTTTAGCAAATTTAGTCTCCCACTCTCTGTTTTGTCACAAGATCATTAAGTAGGTTTCTCGCTGTTTCTCTCTACCCTCTAGCTTTCAGTATGTCCTGCGAGTGTCAAATTTTCCAAGACCTACATCCTCATTGTTTGTCCTAAAGGAATACTGAAGATGAAATGAAGAAATCGAAGAGCTGAGTTCAAATTCCAGTCGGTTTCGTTACATTCACTTATGTACACATTCTCTCGAGAAAGGGATGAATTCATCTCCTCTCCCCCATCTTTAGGTTACATAGTATAACTTGTACCTAGAAAGATCTTTTTTATCTCTAAAATTCTTTTTAATGCAATATTCACAAGCAAAAAAGAGAATTATTCTTTCAATCTAAAATCAATTCATGTCTTAAAATCGCAATTGTTTTTTTCTGACTCTAAATATAAATTTAGCAAATTATTATATAAAGAAAAAATAAGCTATTCAATAAAAAAAAAACAATATTTTTAAAGATATTGTACAACTTATTAAAAAAAAAGGTTCTTCAATAAAACCACCTTCAGATAGAAGGACGGTCTCGTTGCAGTCTCGGAAGCGAGCGTGGTTCTCCTTTCCCTGTTGGCCATCACATCCACATTTTGGTCTTCCTCCCGACGGCGCCCAAAATGTTGTAGTCCAGGGAATTCAAATCATGAGTGTCACGAATCCAAATGCTGAAGGTCAAAGTATTGTTAGCCAATCCTGGATCATATATGGACCAAGTGAAAGGAATCAGTGTTAGTGGAAAAAAAAACTTGATCAGGGCTTCACTACTGTATCTAGGACTTCAACATAGGCATGAGTTTTTATACTACCGTTCACCCAATACAAGGTCCAAGTCCCACCCAGGATAGAGCTTTTTACTGAACGAGAAGGTGTGTTGTAGTAGTGTGAGGAGAATAAGAAATATTCTTAATTAGGATATACATAGCGTTTGACTGGGGGAAGCATCCTCTCGCTCATCAGTTCCGCAACGTAAGAGTTCTGGGGAAGAAGCTATGTGAGTGAGACTTCCTCCTTACCAAAGATATAGGAAGAGGATGAGGGTGAGTCAACTCAATGTACATGGACAGGCGGGTCCTAGCTGTGAATCTGTCTGAACGTCAGTCATGAAAATAACGATTGAATATCCAGAGGCTAGCAACGTTTCGTCTGTGGGAAGAGGTATGCAGGGTGAAAAATAAATAATCGACAAGACCGTGTAAACGGGTTTGAACTTTGTCAAGGCCGGAAAGTGACGATTGGCACTGAAATTGAGGACTTGCAGGCAAAAGTATCATGGCAAGGTGTATCGCCCTTGATCTCTCAACTCAAAAGATCATCACAGACGACGTATGCAATACGGTACATACGTCAATTGAATCAGGGCATAGCCAATGTGAGCTATGATGTTAATACTCTCGATACATCTGAAAGAGAAATGACAATGTTCAAATTTGGCATGAGCTGCGTAACATCACGTTAGATCATCTTCCATTTATGAAGCGCTTAAGATGTATTCTCACATTACGCATCCTACATTTTTTGCATTGATCATATTGACATATATATATATATATATATATATATATATATATATATATATAGAACAATAAAAAAATATTAAAATTTAAAATCTTCAGACAAACTGGGTTGTAGATTAATATTCTTTCGATTTTTTTATTATTATTTCATTTAGATTCTCGACTAGTTTCGGCCAAAATGGCCATCATCAGGAGAAGAAATATTTCTGCTTGCTGGTAGCAGTAAACTACAGAAATGAATGTCTTGATGGAGAAAATGAACTTTTTTCTGTAGTTTTTCATTTGTTTTTTTATTTTTTTATCTTTTTAACATGAATCTTTTAACATTCCTTGTGTTGGTCAAACAGTCTCTTTTAAGTTGTTATTTGAGATAAGAGCTGGATGGATATATGCTTCTCTGAATTCCCCTGGTCAGTTTGACAGTTTTATTGGTCCTGGAGAGGGGATGTGTCTCGGTTAAGTGTTTGTGTGTGTGTTATTTGGTTCTTAGGGAGTGAGTGACTATAATATGTGTAAGCGTGCGTATTGCTATGGGTGTGTGTTATCATTTGGCTCATTAGGGAGGGAGTGAGTATGATGTGTGTAAGTGTTTATATTCGTGTGGGTAAGCATCTTGTGTGGGTGAGAAATGTGGGTAGGTTTTGATTTGTAAAGTTATATATTAGTACTATCTATATAGTTAAATTTATGGTTTAGCCCTGCTGGATAGTGTGATTTTAGACGTTGTATCCACTTATTTTCATGGAACTCTAAAATCATTCTAATGTTATCTGCTCTGAACTTTTCTATTCTCTCAATTATAGTGAATTTGGCATGGGTTTTGAAATCGTGTTTTTCCAGGCGGAAATGTCGTTCTACAGGTAATAATTTTTCATGGGGAGTCGACTTATATATATATATATATATATATATATATATATATATATATATATATATATATATCAAGAACAATATTGAGAAAAATGTATGACAAAGTTGAAAGTTTTCTTGTCACGCGTCTTAAAGGACAAAACACGTCACAAGAAAACCTTATCCACTTTGTCATACGTTGTTCCTATTATATATGATTGTTTTTCCTCCCGAGCCCATGAAGGAGTGGCTATGATGATGACATAGGTATTCAATATTTGGGATAAAAATGGACAAAACAACAACATTCTCTACAAAGTATTTCAACAAGTACGACTCAACATAAACAGAAATTATGATCTGGAATTGGAACTGGGATGAAAGGCAGTGATGGCACCTAACCTGAATACATCATAAATATCTAGGGTTGTGGAATTAATGTATACTTCAAATACGTCAGTGTATGGATCGCTTATGACAAATTTAATATCGGAGAGAAGAAAATTGAACATAGAAAAGTTTTCGCTCGGGGTAGTTTCGCCTAACACTGCAAATTGCTACAAAACAAAAACATTAATCTAAGAAATCGAGCATTTTCTTAAATAGCCTCGTCAAATTGAGAAAAATATGACATCAACAAGATGCTGATGTTCCACACTACTTCAAACAAAAGGTTAGGAAGGAAACCCCCATCAATTCTGAAAAAGGCAAAGCATAATACGCACAATCCAATCCGTTCTTGGAAAATCGCTGATATTTATAGTCCAGAAATCTACCAGTGAAGAAACTGTTATCATTTAATAAAACCTGTTTTGTTATCTTCAGTCGTTAAAGGGTCTCATTTGCAGATATCATAATTGCAGACGAGCGAAAGGGTTTCAGATTTTTCTACTTTTGCGATCTCAAATACTTTAGAGAATGTCTGGACTCCTCTGTTTCTAGCTTCGCCCGTTAATATTAAATATGACCGTCTGAAAGTCTACGTTGCCTTATCGATTTGAGATCAAAATATTTTACAGAAAAACTTATTTATGACCTCGAAATTTTCCTTGTGTCCGTCTCATCCGTCATCGAAATTATAGGCATAATAATGGAATCATATTAGAATCAGGTATATCCACCAAAATCGATCATCTGTCGACAGTTTTGAATATAGCCCAGAGCTACAAGCAGAAGGATATATGCCAACGTTAGATTTGATAACAAAAAGGAGAATTGAACTATATTTGGATTTTTCATAAAAAAAATATAGCTCGAATATTATATTCTCTAAGAATTTAAAATGACTGTTGCCCTGAATCCCATTTAACATGATTGGAAAATCTTTTGGGCTTGAATTTTGATAAAATGTCTGAATTAGGGATAGAATTTCTAGCAACTTATTTTTATAAACATATTTATACGTTATATTTTTTTAGATATTTTGGTTTCTGGTCGCTTCCACAATTTTGACCAAAGGAACGAAACTGGTTGATTTCAAACTACCGCAAATAATTTAGTATTTGTACTGACAATATTTCAGAGGATAAAATGTACACAAAATGTTAACATATTCATCGCAAGGCATTCTTTTATGTGTCTCCAAAATGAAAATGATCTGGCTCTCCACAGCTTCCTTACTTTTGCTGAACTAAGTAACTTTTGACACTTTACCATCTCTCATTTTCTTTGTTGTATCATTCATTTATACAAACTTGTTAATTAGGTTACTCATTGTTTCTCCTCTTCTCTCGCTTCAGTGAGAGTTAAATTCTCCAAACCTTCTTTCCTCATTACGTTGATTGAGTGATTGATTCGTTTTTTTACGGCTTATCAACACTTTGCATGTTATTTAAAACCAGAAAATATTTTTAGATTGTGAGAATATTTTTTGGTGGGGAGATAATAATGATTTAGTGATACAAGTCTTACTAATTTCCCATAACTAGAAAGGGTGGAGATGTGAATTCATACCACCATTTTCATGGGTATTTGCACGTAAGTGAATATAGCAAAGTCAAATCGAATTTGAACTCGGTTCTCCGATTAACTATTCAGGGCCATTATTCATTACACTATTTGCACACCTAAGATGACAGCACCAGATATACTCAAGTGGTCCCCAATCTATTATTAACCAAGCTCGACATTGCTTAACTTCGGTGATCGTACGGGAACCGGTAATTTGATCTTTCTTCATTATATGTCCCAGAATTTTCAGTTCTCTCTTTCAGATTTTTTTTTATTTTTATAGTAAGCGTCGCCCTGAACAAGGCACTGGTGGCAACTCGAAGTAGTATCCAACAGACTTACGTTAAAGGGTAGGTTTTTATGCTTAGGAGGGGAAGACAACGGTTGACTCTAGCTTTGAACAAGTTAAGATTGTAGTGATCGGGAATCATTGTATTGAGAGTCGGTCCCACAGAGCAGCGGTTCGTGTAAAGAAGCTGTTTGAGTGCAACTTACTTCTCACTGATGGAATACGGGGAGATGGGGGGGTGCTACAATTATTGTAAGTATATGTTTTCTTACGGTTCTTTTGTTCTTTAAATCTTCTTCATTACTCAAATGTTATTTCTATGTTATTCTTAGAATTCAACAGCAGAACCAGAACTTTGTCGCTTCGTCTACATTATCCAGTTGTTTGAATTTTTCAACCTGCTTCATTTTGAGGTCACTAATACATAGCTCATATGAGAACATGGCCGAATGGTTAGAATGTTCGCTTTCTGACCATGGCCCGAGTTCGAATCTCACCATGGTCGATTTGTTAGGAAAGTGACTTTTTGATGTTATCGATCTGCATGCGATCCCTTTGGAAAGTGCCTGAAAACCATACCCACGGGTTGACCCAAAACTTGTGAGTAAAATTGGGTAGACGGAACACTTGGGGGCCATTGATAGCTTAGCACAGCTATCAATGGCATGAAGTCACAATTTATCGTGACCGAGGGTTTGAGTGTGCTGTGATTGCTGAGACTGTTGATCACGCACTCTTTCCCATAAACTGTAACTAAGGTCAGCTCAGTATAGTTGCAGTATAAACCACAGGTAGGCTCTGAACAGGTATCTGCAATAGAGATTAGCTAGCCGCCTTAGTAGACTGGCACCATCGGATTCGAAGTTTCGGCCGTTGTACTCTGCGACCTTTTTCAAGTGTCTGTCTTACACTGAAGACCTTTTTGAATTTCAAACTGAACACTTTATTCAATCAACAGGAAGTAGATTATTCTCATTCCATTTTCCATGGATATTATATCAGTTAGTGTTCACCAGCTTCGGCTTTGTGCCACAAACAATTTATATTGTTTAATAAACACTTTCTGCTCATCAGTCTTATTCATCTTTATGTCACTTGTCCAATTCTTCCAATTAACCTCGTCCTGGGTATGACGATAAACTACAGCCGGCAGTAAGGCCTCTGATCGGGAGAGTGGAGGTTTTGAGGAGCATGGAACTACCTCTTAATTACTGTTGTTCCCCGGTCTACCCTGATTCGGATTGGTAGCATCTGTTAGGTCCCCAGCTATGGACAAATAGTGAACCCACAAACATAAATCAACGGTACATTTTTTATAGTAAAATGACTAACAATACATTTTATAATCTATAAAATATATATCTAAAAAAGATAAATTTTTACTTTCAAAGTAAATGTATGTACAAAATATCTACAGTTAAAAGCATAAAATTACGTACACGGTTGGATTTCTGCATTAAATAACCCCATAGAGATTGATATGTGGCCAAACAAAATCAACCAAGCAAACAACCAACATGAAAGATTTCTTTCGTGACATTAGTCCACATAATATCCTTCAATTTCTTAAAAAATCAAACTGTATTTCAAAATATAACTTCAACAAAACGACATCATAAAACACCGCCTCTAGTAATTATGTCCATAGAAACATGTATATGAACAAAATCTGAGTATCATGTATTCAACTGTGAAAGCAGAATAACGTATATCATATTTTATTACTTTACAGCTCCCAAGAAAATTAAATTTTGGCGTTTAATGACCCATGAAGGAGTTGACATGCCGTTAAACAAAGAAATCAATCAATCCACTTAACCAAAGCGTGTGACATTTTCCGCGTTACCAGTAATTGAATTTCTAAGGAACCAGACATGTTTAACTAACGCGACTATGTGTCTCTTTAACATACTAGTTATGAAATTCTCGAGTCTTAGACCTAATGTCTGTACTCAGGTGGTGGAACTGTCTCATCTATATCCTAAATTAATCGCGTGCCCCGACGGAAGCCATTTCTTTCTTAGACAGAAATTCTCAGACGGTATTTATCTCTATACTAAGTCTACTGATGAGGTTGCTAGTGTTTAAAATGTACACTGTATGTTTCAGTCATCTTGTCCTCCATTGCTGTTACCTGTCCATTATTTTGACATCATTCCCCGTTGCTTGATAACCAGGGGTTTTTTTTTTTGCTCCATATATGGTCCTCTATACCTGATTTCAGTGTTTCTCCCGAAACGTTACTCAATCATTTAATGTTTCTTTATGGAGTTCAAATCTTTTCTTGGTTCAAATATGTTCTCGGTTTAAATATTCAAATACTTTACGACGCGAAGAACGGCTCAATTCAAAATTGATGATGTTTAAGAATTTAAAAGCTGGCCAATATCATTATTTGAACATGTAATCTTTTCTTTCTTTTTTCAAACTATTGTCTAAAGATGCTGGTTTAAAAAGATGGTATAATTTAGTTTATTTTTCTCCGCAGTCGAACAATCATCAAATAGAAAAATCTGCACAGAAGCAATTGTAATTTGCTAATGCAAAACAATAGAACATATATTTTCCGAGAGTAATTTAAAATTTAACCAAATCAATCTCGTTGCAAGCAAAAGTCTATTGGTGATTGGTTTGATGTTTATATGGAAAACAAATGACACTAATTCTTCAATTTGGAGATAAGAAACAATATGTATCTCTCTCTCTCTCTCTCTCTCTCCCAAGAAATATTATCTCTAAAAAGTGGAATGGTCGATGTAGTTAAATGTCAATCAACATCTCCAGATGCCCTGATCTATTCCCCGTCCTTCTCTTCATTCTTTCCTCACCGCCTCTTTACTCTTGCTCCCAATCCTCTGTAACCCCTTGCGTGCTAGTGACACTTCCACCTTGCTTAGGGTGAAATGCTTAAAATGCTTAAAAAAAAGATAAAGTTTAAAGAAAATTCGAACAGTAGAAAGTAACATTAAAATGAATGTGTGTTTGTATACATTTAAGATATATCATTGAACTATGAAAAGGCCTTGAAATATATTTAACGAAATGATAAATTCAAATAAAGTTGTAAATATAACAGCTAACAAAAAGAGATATGCTATGCAAAGCTTCAACAACAGCAGAAAAAGAAAAGAGAAGCAACGGTTGAGTTCAAGCATAACACAGCAGGCAGAAGAATATTACGTTAAAAAGATCCAAATTCTAAGTACAGGATTGTACCCCAGTACTAGTAGATTAAGGCATTGGTAGATTTGGTGATATAGTTATTGTGAGTTCAATCTCTGTCCTGAGTAATACAGACTTAGACACACTGGAAACAGGGCGAGTAGTAACCGAGCAGAATCCTAAACAAAGACGAATTATCCTTAGATAAAGATAGTGGAACTGGCGCAATCTAACCCATAGATTAAATAAGGGTTCAGTTCAAAATTCGCTGATGGTTATCCGGAACAACAGACAACGGCGGAAATGTTCTGATAATGACATAAAAAAGGAAGATATGTAAATAAGCATAAATCTTCATCCCAGAAATTCAGACAAAATGAGTGAAATATTTTTTTCCAAACATGTCACAGACATTCTTCATTTCCTTCTTCCTATTTTTGTCTTTCTTTATAATTTCTTTCTTCTTTTTCTTTGTTTTGTTTTTGTTTTTTCTTTTATAACTTATCTTTGTAATGACTAGCAATGGAAATTTTACATCTTATCAACCCTTCACGGATTATTTAAATCCGAAAAATATTTAATAGTGTTTTGAGAATAACAATAGTTTTGTTTTTCAGATACAAGCTCTACTATTTAACCTATAGTTGGGGGTGTAATGATTAAGAACACAAGACTATATCTTTCATACAGAAAATTATTCACCACCACCAGATTTCATCATTTAATATCGGCTTTAGGGTATGTAAGCAACACTAAAGAAGAAAAGGACTAGATATTTGTATACATAAAAAATACTCTACTCCTGTAGATTAAATAATAAGACAGAGTATCAGACAGACGGTTTTTTCCATGATCCGCTTTTTTAACTACCTTCACTCTTCGGCAATGTTTATTGTTTTAAAAAAAATTCTAATTAGAATTGGAATAAAACAAAACCTATGATGAAAGTGAATTTATATATATTTTTTTTTTGTTTTTGAGAATTGACAACAAAAATATTAAGCACTATTTATTTGTCAGTTTATTTATTTACAAGAATTTTATATTTACAACATTCTAAAAACTAATACAATTCGAACTAATGCAATGCAATGTTTATCATTCGCCAATTTATAAAGAAATACGTGTGAAAATTAATTTTTATTCATAAATTTATAAACATTAATTAAATTATTACAATGTGAACCAACTCTAAGGAAATCCTTATTATTTACTATTTTATAAAGAGGCTGAATCAAACTGGCAGTTAGACGCTGTTTTGCCAACCGTTCCAATAAATATTATAATAAATAAACAGCGTAAATAAACAATCTAATAAATAGTGTTTATTATTTTTAATTAATTCTTAAAATCAAATAAAATGTATGAAATCACATTCATAATTTTAGGCTTTATTATTGGCTTGGTGCATAATTATGAGGCTTTTTTTTTAATAATTATTATGAAAAAAGAAACTTTACAATTCAACAATAACATTTTTAACTGATTATTCCGGAGGGTATGATTATCGACATGCATTTTTATAACCTGAAAAGCAAACAAAACAGCAATTTTTATTAACAAATAGCTTACCTAAAAAATGCCTGATAATGGTGTACTAACACAATCTAATCATCTCGTTTTAAAACAATAAACATTTCCGAAAGTGAAGGTATTTAAAAAAAAAAGAGTTGTCATGGGAAAAACTGTCTTTCTGGCATCTCGTCTTATTTGTCCATATCTGTTTATATTTCGGAGATTAAATATTTTCACTATTTGCATTATT